CCGCCGTCTCCGGGGGCTGTGCTGTCGGGGGACGCGGGGGGCCTGCTGGAATCAGGGGCGCGGTCAGGGCAGGGACACCCTCCCTCCTTAAAGGGGGCAGGTTCAGCCAGCCGGTGCGCCCAGTGGTTGAGCGTCGTCCGCGCACCGAGAGGTCGCCGGTTCCATTGCCGTCGGGGCACAGGCCAGGGACGTGCCGGAGTTGCCCGCTGGTCTGGGCACAGGCCAGGGACGTGCCGGAGTTGCCCGCTGGTCAGGGCACACGCCAGGGACGTGCCCGAGTTGCCCGCTGGTCAGGGCACACGCCAGGGACGTGCCCGAGTTGCCCGCTGGATCCCCAGTAGGGGTCTGCAGCAGGCAGCCAATGGATGTTTCTCTCCCGTCAATGCTTCCATCTCCCTCCCTTCCTTTCTCTCTAAAAGTCCATGGAAACCTATTATGAAAAATAAAAAGTAAAAGAGGCTGGTTCAGAGGACATTGCCGGAAGCTGCGGTGTAGGCCCCTTGCTGGGGAAAGTCTGGATGGAGGGCTGATGCTCAGAATCCGCTCCACGTCCGCTCGTGGTCACCAGTATTGCTTATTAAACAGAAGAGAATGGGATGGTTGGGAAATCCTCATTACTAAGTAAGCTAACTTTTTAGTTTTTCTAGGGGCTCTGTTATTTGGGGCCACAATGAAAAATTTAGACAATGATGATCTAATATCTGACAAACTTCCCAAGCTCAGGAGCTCAAGGACTGGCTGGAGCCACAGCCACATACTGTTACGGAGGTAGGGTAGTGTGGCATTTTGAAGTTCCTACTTGGGTGGTTGCATTGAGAACTGGCTCGTGTGAAATATAGTATTTTTTCTATGTTTTCTGTTTCATTCTGCTCTTTATAATTCCCTCATTCTGCTAACTTTGAGTTTACTCGGCTCTTCATTTTCTAGCTTTTAAAATTATAACGACAAAACCAGCACCCTGCATAACAAAAATTGTTCTCACATATAAATAATACCTTCCCCCTTGTCCTCTCTTCTATAAAGTAGACAGAATTCAAATTAATTTATCTTTGCTTCTGTGGATAAACTAATTTTTTTCTTATTATAAAAGAAAGAATTCTAATTTGGTGCCTTGGAACCAGCCAAAGAATAGACCTGAATCGCAGAGTGGAGATTACGGAGTGAAGTTTGGCTGACCTCATGTCACAAATTAAGCTGCAGTCCACTTTAACTGCCAGCAAGGATCAATTAAGCGACTGTGCTTAAAGGACATTGGGATGGCGTTGGGCAGGACAGAGGGTCTGTTAGTGAAAAGCACTCAGTCCCTCGCTCTCACGGTCCTGGGCGCGGGGACTGCCTCCTGCCTGTCCCTGCAACTCCTCATGTTCCAGCTCCCACTCTGGAATCATCAGAGAGGTGCCCCAATATGGTGACGGTTCATATTTCTCTGCTCATTTGACAGTGGGCAAGGGCAAGGGTGATAAAGACACAGGCATTGCTATTAAGAAATAGCATTAAATAGTCTCAGTAAGCCGGTTTGGCTCAGTGCTTAGAGTTGGCCTGCAGACTGAAGGGTCCCAGTTTCGATTCCAGCCAAGGTCAAGTACTTCAGTTGCAGGCTCAATCCCTGCCCTGGTTGAGGTGTGTGCAGGAGGCAACCAAGTTCTCTCTTTTCTCTCTCTCCCCCCTCCTTCCACTCCCTCTGAAAAGCAATGAAAAAAATATCCTCAGGTGAGGGTTAGAAAGAAAAATGTTCTTAACTGAGACCTGTGTGTAGTCAGAGGTGGGCTGACTTCCTAGACTCATCTGTGAAGGTGGATATTTTTCTTTTAATTTGAAGTCATTTTGTCTGGCACTTCCTATCCCCCTAGCCCAGTAATGGTTTTACTTGCAAAGTGACCGAATGCGTAGAGTAGGGGTCTCACAGCGGGGGAGCAGAGGCTAGCAAACCTCAGAGGAGTTGAAGGCTTTCGTGAGCTGGTTAAATGTGCCACACTCTATAGATGCCGCAAACACAGTGGAACCTGGGAGAAAGTCCTGGCCTCTCCCCCAGCAAATTCACTGAGCTCCTGGAGAAGGCAGAGACCTCCTTCCTTCTCTCTCTCTTTTATTCCTGTCGCCTCCAGCTATGTGAGGTGGCCTGTAGAACAAGCCACAACACACATAGGGTCACTGGGAATAAGGGCAGAGAAGGGACCATATGGATGCTCAGGGGTTAGTTCTCTAGTCCTGGCCATGAGTGTGATTTGGCACCAGATCATCCCATATGTCATAAAAGGCAAGGAATTTGGGGGACTCATGGCGCAATTCCCTGTGGAGGCCTGTTACCCATCCCCATCCCCTCCCCTCAATGACTGGAACAGAATCATTCCCTTTAGTCGGAATGTTGAACGAGTTAAGTGAAGCCCACGTGACTTTAAAGCTGGGTGCCACAGCTTGATTACATCACAGGGGCATGGATTTGGTCACAGTATCTCCACTTTTACCATCTGAACCGGGAGGGTTGGTGGGCCATCTGCAAGGACAGGCCAACCCCGCCTGACACACTCACTTAAAGGCACAAAACTCGAGCCTGGTCTCCTGCGGGCACTGAGGTCCGGCTGGGCCTGTGCACTCTCGGGAACTCCATGAGAATCAGCACCTCCCTCCCACCAGCCACACCCAGGGAGCTGCTTTCCACTTGCTTATATTTACCTTTCAGACAAGCAATTTAGTCTTTAGGAAACATAGGAAAAAAACTGAAAATGCAAAAATGAATTTGTTCTTGGAACTAAAATCCAGGGCAGGGCGGGTCTGCATGCTATGTTTGTACTTTTAATTTAACATTAGTGGGACATCTGTCAAGTTAATGCGGGCACTTAAGACTTGTTCTGAGTTGATTATCAATGGGAAACATGCATACAGAAATATTCATTAGAGAGCTACTGAGAGTTGCCATAAAGCAGCAGACACTGAATTCAGAGCCACTGTCACTCCCCCCTCCCCCAGTTTCACATTTGCTTGAGGGGGGATGAGACCAAATGTCCTCTGTGTTCTGTGGTGCCCATTGGACGTGCACCATGGGATGAGGGTGTTGTCCTGACTCTCAGGATATCACCAAGCATTTCAGGACATGACATTGCAGACGAATGATAAACAGCAGCATTGACTCAGCCCGCAGACGGCTGTGTCTGCCTGATGTCCCACATGGGCTGCTTTCATCGCTAATCATGGACTTGGAGACTGTTTGTGGTACGTGAAAGGTGGGGAGGGGTTCCCTACATGTTACTTTGTGGAAAGCCTCAAGT